GTGAATTCCTGTCTTCCTGTTGGCTTGCAAATTTGCATCTCACTTTGTGCACAGGGAAGATATCAAGCTGAAAGGTGACCAGAATAGCTGTGGTGTGGAGTTTCGTTGCTGGAGGCTTCTGTGTCAAGGCAGAGAAGACAGTGGCTAACATGAGCATCCTTTCATGGAGTTTATATACTGTTGTTCATTTGTCAGGTCCTGATTTTGCCAAAAAAGGTAGTGGTGGGAAAGCGGTACATGTATAGAAAATGTTAATTCTAGTGACAGAGAACCTTCTTCCTGTCTGTTATTTGTTTGTAGCTCCCCTATGAAGGCCTTTTCCACTCAAATCCCATTGTGGCTCAAGTTCTCTGAATTAAGTTTTATTTTAGCCTGTTTTAATTTAGTTACTTTTCTGCTGTGCTGTCTACATTTTGAACATTATATGTAAAGAGGCCCACAGAAGCACAGAATGACACTCTCTGACCAACAGACCACTGACAAAGAGAACATGCATCAAAGGAAGGCTAGTTTTGTTAGTGGGAATGGGAATGAGGTGCCCCAATCATAGTGGCTGTGTAAGCCAGCGGTTATTCTCAGTAGTATCTTTAGAAGCAGCTCTGGAAGACGTACCACACATCCCTTCTGTGGAGTGGAACTTTTCAAAAGTTTAATGCTTTCTCCTGACCTTCAGGGAGGCCAGGCTGATACCACAAAGTGCTTGGGCTGTCTGAGGGAAAGCACAGAAGACACGCTGTCACCTGCAGAACATAATAACTGTGGCCACAAGTCACCTTGTGAATCCCAGTTTTGAGCAGGGGCTCTGTTAGGCAGCCACAGGGAAGTTTGTGGGGTTTCAGAATAAAACATATGTTTTAGAGAGTTTGCAGATCTATTAATGTAATTCCAGACCATCAGCTGAAGTCCTGAGATCTCTTATATGATTTTTGACGTGGAAAAAAGCCACCCAACCGTGGTTCTATTAAAATCTTTAGCTGTAACCATGAATCTTCCCCAAGGTTTTCTCTGAGAGATAACTGTTTCTTATGGTTATAGTTTTGAAGACTGGATTTAGATATTCTTGGAACTTTAATTCACAACAAATAGTCACAATGGGGGGAATCAACCAGTTTGAGTTTAAAAAGTGAATTTTACCCCAGCTATTTTTTTTCCAATTGGGTGATTTTTTCATTTAAAAAGTTAAATCTGAGCCTATAAAACATATACCTTAGAGTAAGTTTTTTTTAATGATCATATTACTAGTTTTTTCCGGTAAGTAATTACCACTTCACTTTTTTGAAGCATAATAAAAATCTAGGAATGGAGATCTGCAACATTTTGCTGACTTAGTTGCTTAACTCAATTAGTACCATTACAGCAGGTCCTTCTGAGCTTGTCTCCCTCATGAGAGATGCTCTTGTTAGAAGGCCTTCATAAACCAAACCTGAGCTGGCCAGCACCTCATGAAAAGCACACCAAGGATAGTCCCAGGTGAACTGTCAACTCATAGCATGGCAATTCCTGTTCAGGGCTTGTTAATAGGCAGGGGTAGGATGACCCTGGAGGTACATTGGAGCCTTAACAGAGCTATTTTCTTCTCACCCTGCACAGATAGGCACTAGGCAATTATCATGGGAGTTTTTTTGTGAATCAGTGTTGTTCCACTGGGAAGTACCAGGGTAACTCTCTAATGGTCTCAGAGCAGTGGGCATGTTGGTGTTCAAGGCCAGGCTGGATGAGGCTTTGAGCAACCTGGTCTAGTGGAGGGTGTCCCTGCCCATGGCAGGGGGGTTGGAACTAGATGATCTCTAAGGTCCCTTCCAACCCAAATCATTCTGTGATTCTATGATTCTAAGTCACCATCCCCAAAGGGGGTGGGTAGTTGTCCTGTCTGCCTCTGTTGAAGTTAGTGAAGCTGTGAATACTTACAGAGGTTGAGGATTTGTCCACTGTGCTCTCTGCAGTCTTTCCCCTGTGATAAAGATCTGAACACAGTGAATCTCTTCAGTCACTTTGCAAACTCTGAGTGGTATGCAACTGAAGAGAAATTATAGACTCATTTCAAATATTGCTGCTCCCTGGTGTGCCATGTGTATTTGGAGGGTCCTTTCTGGCAAAGTGGTGCACAGATCTTACAAAAGGAGTTAAAGGAAATCAATGTTCATATTACAGGCTGCAGTCTGGCAGAGGATGAGCAGGAAGGGAAGCATCTACCATGAGCCCTGTGCTCCCTACCTCACTTGGAGAAGAAATAGTGGGCAGCCGGGTGCAGGGAGGACATCAGTGCAACCACAGCCCCAGATCTTCAAATGTACCTTGGAGCCTAACTTCCTGTTTTTCTAAGTGAGATGTTTCCTAAGGATGTTGGAGCAACCGAGACTATGGTTCTTACTTGCCTCCAACACAACAGCAGCACTCTGGTTCTTCATTTTGCACTTTCCTTTTGTGTGTGTGTGAAAAGAAGGTTTAGTCGTATTTTCCATTCTTTCTAAAGCATTCTGAGAGCCTCAGGGAAAAGTGTGAGGCACGAGCCAGTGCTATTATAGATAAGCTTCCAGATTATACACAGCTAGAGATGACAAAAATAGCACACAACTGGGACCACAGCAAGGACTAGGGTAAGGAGTGGTCAGGGAAAGACAGGGAAGTCCATGGGGCTTAATTGCTGAGTAGGAGGAGATGTTGAGAGCACTGATCACCCTTAGTAATTAACTCCCAAGAAGTGCACAAGGAGTATGACAGATCTTGCAAGGTCTAACAAACAAGATGTGATTATTAAGTAGGATGATTCACTCTCAAAAATGATTATTAATCATGCTATGAACTGTGATGAGGATGAGCAGATATAAAGTATTGCTATGTGATGGTTAATTAATATATCCTCAGGTTGTGATAGTCCTAATTAAAAAAAAATATTCACTTCAGCAAGATTAATTGCAGGATAAGATACTACTGAGTATGAGCAAAGGCATTAAAATTCTGCCTGACAAAAGCATGTTAGTTCTGGTCCTGGATGAATCTGATCAGTGGCAGCTGATGGTATTCATCTGAGGGAGTTTACCATAAAAAAACTTTTATAGGTGACCTGGTTTTGTAGCCTGCTGATAGTCTGATGATGCTGAAGGGAACAGAAGTGTTTCTTTTCTCTATAATATGAGGGACTGGGCCTTGAGATCAGCAATTCAAAATTAATGAACATCAGTTTATATATTTCTGTACTCCAGAAATATCTCAACATTTCTTTCTACTTCTAAAATTCTTCTCACAAAGTTTGTAGCAACACCTGTTTTTTTTTTTTTTTTTTTTTTTTTTTTTTCTTTTCTAGTGTAGTTGATATCAAGAACTTCAGTAAGGAAGCATCACTCCCTATAATGGAGACTCAGTAGCTTGCCTTGGCTCTGTTCTGTAGTCTGACACATAGAGTGATCCTTCTCTTTCCTGCCTGAGCAGTAGTACTGCTTTAAAACCTGTCCTGGATAGTGAAAACTAAATCCACTTCTCTACGCAGGACTGAGGCATGACAAAACGTCAGCTACAGGAGACAAATTCTGTCTGCAGACTTGACCAGAGCAGGGAACTGTAATGACTGGCTTTGAGAGTAATGCAATCTTATTTCTATAGTGTAGTTTGGAAGTGCTGTAGTTTCATGTGTGTCTCTAAGAGGCTGTGATGAAAAGCCCATAGTTTAGCAGCAGTGCAGGCTACATACACATGGTAGTATGAGAGGAAGTTTATTCCTGGAGCCCCTCTGCCTGTACCTTTTCTCTACCCTTCAAGCTCCTCAAACGCAATTCTTCTCTCTCTGCCCAGAGCTCTTCTGTGTCTGCTTCTGATACTGTGGGCGTCATCCTAGCGTTGTATGAAGTCTGACTTTTAAGTACTTTTTTGAAAATTTATTGTCTGAAATATGGTCTTTACAGATGAAATATGGTGTAGAAAGCTCAGAATTGGATTGCTTTTGAACAATCTGAGGCATGAGTTGGCGGCAGTGGCAGTTCTAGCTGGCTTACCCAAAAGTTCTCAGATTTGTGCTGTCATCTTGGTACCCATTTCAACAGTCTCCATCTGCATTGCATACAAACAAACAAACGTACCATTTGATTCCAGGTTTGTAGTAACTTTATTAAAATTCAAAACCTTCTGTTTGTAGAATTTATAAATTTAAAAAATATAAGACATTTACATATGCATAGTTCTCTAGGGCAGGGAGTTTCTATGAGTTTGTGAAATACAGATTCCAGACATGGTTTGTTCTTGCTTATTCAGAGAAAAGCAAAGGAAAAAGTAAAACAATGGTTTCAGGTTTGTCTCACGTGAGGGTGAAGTCAAAGTATCTTCACAGAAGTCAGTGGGTAGGATAACTCTTACTCAGTACAAGGCTGAATAAGGTTACATTCATGGAGTTACCCTGAATTACTCCAACTCATCCCTTGGTGAGAGTATCCATACATCATCATGAACTGAGCTAATAGTGCAATACTGTGGATAAAAATAGAAGGCCTGAGTCTTCTTCTGAATATTGCAATGATCAGGTGACAACCTGAAGCATGAGTTTATATATGTATGAGTAACCATGAAATTATATAGCACCTCCTCAAACCCAGCACTCAGTGAAGAGCATTCTGACCTCCATCAGGATGGAGCTCTATACTCATCTGATACTCATCTGACTCTGTGGGAGGTCATCTTCTTCCCTGCAGTGTGTGAAACTATTTGCCATTCACCCTTAAATGCTATACTGGTCAGGACAGCAAGGATGAGAAGATATCTACATTCAGTTGTAAATAAATACTAGCAAGCATTTCAGAAAATAAACAGTGTAACAGAGTCCATCTATAAAACAAGTCAGCATACATTCAGCCAGTGATGAACAGATTCTGGTGACATCGTGTTTGTTCAGAGATTTTATTGCCAATTAATAAATAGGAATTAAAAGCAGATACTAAGGCTTTCTTCCCTGTCATGTACAGCACAGAGGATGATTCCGTTTAGTTGGCCTTAGATGCTTGCCTAGGAGGGGATTATCTGCCTTTGGTGGCACGTTTTTGGTCTATTTTCTTCATAGCAGCCTGCACCCATTTCTGATCCGGGCTTACGCAGATCTTGATACCTTTTGTGGTGATAAACCTGTAAGGAGAAAGAAAGAAAGCCAGGTGGCCATTAAATTCCAGTCTCCAAACCCAGGCTTACTGTTCTCGGTTTTTATGCAGAACAGGGGGAACAATGTGGTAAAACTGTATCCCATGCTGGAGTTTGTAGTTGTTAGTTGGAATAACAGCAGTAAGCAACATTAATTCCCCATTTATGGTGTATGTATATATGTAACATACATGGTGATCTGCATATATACTGATACTTTAAAAAAGGAGTATACCTGATATTCTGAGATTTTATATGAAATCATGTTGCACATTTACCTCCCAAGAGCAGATCCCATATTTGATAAAAACAAAGACTCATGAGATCTAAAGACCAAACACAGCTCCTAGCAGGAGTCGGAGTTACCCCAAACTCTCCCATGTGATCTTTCCCCTTGGTTCAATTCAGTGCACTGAGCTTCTGATTGCTCTACCCTTACCCCTCACTGAGATTTTTCCCCACTTTCTGGATACAAAAGATCTGCCTGTTCAGTGAGATTTCTGCCAGCACCTGTGAGCAGTATACATGTCCCAGCTCTCCGAGGCCCACCATTTTCCCCTCGCTCCCTCAGCTGCCGGGTAACTGCTTCATGGGGGAACTGGAAGGGTGACCTGACCTAGCCAGGTTTAGTAAGTTGGGCCGTGGAGTGTCTTCTGTTGTCCTTTCCCTTTTTTGATGGTAGCGTATTTGCATAGACAAGTCTAAAGGTGAACTGTGCACTGGATACTTACATGATGGCATTTACTGGAACTTGTTGCTTTTCATAGCTGACAAGCTGTCGGATGTTCAGCTGCTGTGTAAACAGACTGACACAACTGAATTTGCGCATGGGCTGACTTCCAGCGCTCCCTAGAAGGGGAAAAATAAGATAAATGACAAAGGCAGTCAATACTATATTCACATTTAGCCATAATTAATTACTAAATTATGGATTCCAGCAGACTTCCGGCTGTGGTTAGAACATGAGTGTCTCATGATGTACAGCCACAACAGCAGTTACACAAGAGAACTTCAGGTATTTTTTTGTGATGCATCCTACCACCTCTAAAGTGGTATTGCTATTTCAGTTGAGATACTAATCTTCACCCATTCTCCTGAATTGTGTAATCATTTTACCCCTAGGGAGTCACTGCTTCCATAGCAGAAAAGGTATTGGTCATCACTCATAATTAGGTCTGTATCATCTGCAAATAAATGTCCATGTGGAGCAGCGCTTAGAATAGGCATCTTTACTGGATGGATTTCCAAATGTCATCTGAATGTGGATCAGTAATTTCCCCTGCTTTCCAAGTGAAGGAAAGGAAAGCAAGGCTACTTGTCTCACCCTGGACATCCAAAGCTAGTGTTAAAAAAAAATTGTTGACAGAAAGGGAGGTATATTTGCCAGAAGACTAAGTATTTTCATAATCTTGCTATAAGTCTGGTTTCATACGAAATGGAGTGCTACTTAATCCTCTCTTTCCTCCAGTATCTTAATACATTTGAGGAAATGCACTGATGATTAATAAAGAGGATCACGATATCAGTGTAAAAGTCTCTGGGCAGCTTTTGTGTTACATGATGATAACTAAAAATGGGAGCTCATTTAAGTGAGATGAGTGTATGTATCTGTTACTGGAAGCCTCTAGTTGCTGGTTTAGTCCCACCCATCAAAGACAGGTTTGTGAAGGCATGAGGGGGACAAATAGAACACTGCTGTATTCTGAGGTTTCTTTTTAAAGAATTTGTAGAGAAACTGGCTTGAGAAAAGTCCAAGACCTGTTCAGGTACAACTTGCTAAATATAAAACCTGCCTCCCAGAATCTTATTATCTGTGAGCTTTTCTTTGTTTGAAATAATTGGAATAGCTGAGGCAAGCACACATCAGTCTTTGCACAGGCTGTAGCATAGCCAGTGCACAGATACTGGCAGAATTGCTAATTCTTGAGATTTTGTTTGCCTAAAGGAATATCTCTTCTGATCTTGCTTTAGTTATGAGTAATGCAATGTATTTTTTGATGATTTGTTACAAATATGTATCTTACTGCCTCCCTCAGACTGGTTTTCAGAATGTGGTATTAAAGAGCTCAAAGACAGTCAAGCAATCCTTACTAGTCCTGGAAATACTCTCTCTACTGCTAATCTGTCTCCAGGGATTGCATGCAAGGAATACCAGCAGAACTTTTCTAAGCCTGGGAATGAAACCAAACTGCTGGGCACCCACAACTACCCTTTTTTCTGGTGTGGGTTTTTTTTTTTTTTTTTTTTTTTTTTTATTCACTCTTCCAAATCCGTTTTCTATGCCTTGTCCATCACCTCAGTGTGCTTTTTCAGACTTCATGATGTTTATGGCAAATTATACCACCTGGAGAATGACATTACAAACTGTCGTCTGTGATATGAAGCTACATGTTGCCAAGATGAACAGCAGTAACATTAATCAATGTATGAGTGTAGTATCATCTAGCTCCAGGGGCACTGGATCAACATACTCAGTGTGTAGCTACATAACCTTGTGAATACTTAGCAGGTCTCAGTTCGGTTTTGGTGTGGTTTTGTGAAGATGCCTTTTCTGTGTGTTTCTCTTTGCATGTTTTTGTGGGTTTGCATATGGCTTGCATATGAGTGTTTTCAGTGATTTTTTTATGTTCTTGTTTGCGTGAGTCTGATTGTGTGTAAGACGACGTATGTGTGTATGTTCATGTTTTTGCATGATACATGTAGCCTAATCCAAAAATCACAGATCTAAACATCACTATAGACAAACTTATTTAAGGCATGGCTAATAAACATGGCTCATCTCAGTGCTCATAGATGGTCTCAAATGAGATGTTAAATTGTATGAAATCAGAAAGAGGGAGAAGACATTGTACAAATTCATTGCTCTCCTTTGCAGTTTTTGTTCATAGTTTGCCTGTTTGTACCAAATATTTGTCTAGAAACAGGCAAATAGCCAATATGTGATACAGAATGGGAAGAACTTTTAAAAATAGGGACACTAGAGGGATTAAGGCTATTTAATTAGGGACAGACAAATAAAATAATATTATAAAAATACATACGAAAGTATATCTAGAAAAAGAAAAAAGTACATCTTATTCAATAAATATTTTTCATAAAATGTTATTAACCTATAGAATGCATTGCTATATGGCATCAGTGAGATTAAAAGACATTGTGTCTTCAAGATTTTGTGATTGTAAGAGAGAGAATAATGCACAGAAACCCTTTTAAGTGTTGTAAGGCACAGAAATTCTCCTTGCATTAAGGCAGAAGCCAGACGCTAACTGACAGGACATCAGAAGAAATCTCCCATAAAGCTGCCTTTCTCATGGTTCTAATCTGGGTTTCTTGCAAGTTTCATTTTATGAATCAGCTCTGGCTGAGAATGAATCCTGCTCATCAGACCGCTGGCGCTATGTGGAGTAATGCCTGTCTTCCTCTTGGGTTGTGAGCTTACCTTTCACCGTGTGGACAGTGAAGACGCCAAGCCAGAAGATGATGAGGATAGCTGCAGCGTGGAGTTTCATTGCTGGTGGCTTCTTTGTCAAGGCAGAAGAGAAAGCAGCTATTGTCAGCCCCCTTTCACAGAGTTTATATATTGTCATTTAGTGGTCAGTTCTCGTGTTCACTTTTGGGGCGTCATGGTGGGGCTGACTATACGTGGAAAAAATTGAGTGGCAGTACTTTTTCTGGTGACAGAGAACCACCTCCTTTCCCCCAACCGTCCTTCACTAGCCCCCCTGTGAAGGCTTTTCCTGCTCAAACCCTGCTGTGGTTGCACTTGCTTCTGTGTTGTGAGTAGGGTTTATTTCAAGCTGCAAAAAGTGAGAGCTCTTGTTCTGTAGTGGAAACCTTTAATAAGTGTTCCTGTCCTTTCACACCTCAATTTAGAGAGCTGTAGCTAAGCCACACCGCAGAGACACAGAGTAACATTCAGAGTTACCTCTTTGACCAATGAACCGCTTAAAAGGGGAACAGTGAGCTCAGGGACTATGGAAACAGGAAACCTTGGCTTTTTCCTTAGTAGCTGTAGATAGTTGGTCACTTTAACTTATAACTTTGGAGAGGTATCACTCCTTTTCCCCATGTGTCATGGTTTCTTTGTGATTTGATATGGCCAAAGCTGGTACCACTATGTGCTGGGAGAGGGAAGATTGGACACACTTTTACATACAGGGCCAGATCCACTAGGCCTCCTACCAGTCAGGCATAACTGAAATACAGTGGTTTCAAAGAGGAATAAAAGTTCATAAAGTTTTGGGTTTGTTTTTTTGTTTTGTTTTGGCTTTTTTTTTTTCTTTTTTGTGTTGTAGGGTTTTTTGTTTGGTGTGGTCTTTCTAGTATAAAGAATGGAGCCCAAGAAAGTAACAAGATAATCAGAGAGGCACAATTTATAGGAAAGAAGAAAAAAGTTCACTGCACTTCTGGGTAAGCATGATGTTGATAACAGGTCTGTCAACTTGTTCCAATTGTACTTCTATCAAAAGTATCCTTTTTTGCAGTCTGTGCTAGTCCTATGACCCAGTTTTAGGTGTCCTTTCTATGTTGCAGTAAGGTGGTCTGAGTTACTGGACAGCATTGCTACAGGCCAGAGGATTTGCGCCTGCAAATATTTTTCAAGCAAGCCTCCAGGCCACACAAAGCAGCATTTGAGATGGTATCATTGTCCAGAGCCTCTGAGCAGAAATCTTCTCTTGTGCTTTACACTCTGGAGCACTTCTGTGCCTGGTAGAAAAAGCCATGCTGTGCTAGGCCAGTGGAGACCCAGCCAGACCTGGTGTGAATAGGTAAGCACCAGGCTGCCTGATTCTTGAGATTGTAAGGCGGTGGTGTAGAATAGTTGTCCCTGCAAAGCCTGGAGCAAGTGTCCATTTATGAGAGTCTGAAGTTTTTCCTGCTCTTACATCCAGTCCTTGCCTCAAACCAGTTACTTCCAGTTTTCCAAATTCTTGGTAACATCAATGTAAGTTGCTTCACTTCCCTAGGATTCCTCAGGCAAATTAAGGTTGAGCTAAGAACTGAGCTCAAATGCTTGACTCCTAGGCTGTAATGGCTGGTCTGCAACCTCAGGAGCAGTCTGTAGTTCTTGCAGGTAGAGAACCAACTGCTTGGTTTACTTGTATATACACGCACATGCTTTGTTCCTTTTGGTTGGATTCTTTCATCTTATATATATACTATGCAACACAGAGAAAAGCAATGGCAAAAGTAGACAGTAAGCAGGTGTAAGACACTTGCTGCTTTACTTGGATGCCTGCTAAACCCACTTGCAACACTAATGTTAGTTGCAATGAAATGGAAGCCAAAGCTTCAACCAAAGCCCCTAAAGGACATGCCTGATGCCACGCAGGGGAGTAACCATGGGAAATCTAATGTTAAGTTTGTGTCCAAGCAGTGTAGCAGCCTGGTGTTTTTCTGAACACTGCCTGAAATCACTCCTTGAATGAGGTATTCTAACTTTTTGGTACTTAGTAACTTTGAGATGCAAGATAGCAACTTTGCCATACACGGTAGAGAGAAGCTTTCTCCCTCTTATGAGAGGAGATGCTTCCCCACTTCTGCTCACTGATACGGTATGTACATGTATGTATATACTCACTGTCTGCAGTTTTGAGAGGAAGGGTCACCAGCTGTATTGAGCATGAACCAGCTCAGAAAAAGTCAGCCCTTCCCACAGAAGCTACTCTAGGTTGTAGATTCATCCCTGAGGTGTTGTTAGAAAGACTGTTGCTTCTTCAGTTTTCCACCATTCTTAAGGTGGGATAGAAAAATTGCCCTGTGACTAGTTTTTCCCCTTTGTAGTTCTCATTTGCTATGGCCTCCTGGGCTGTAGTTCTGTGTAGCTGGCTTATGTCCAGTGAATTCTGGGTTTTGGAGAAGAGTTTTGTGGACTGTAGTCCCACAGCCCTGTCTATAGATATTTGGTGATCTCCGTTGTTCTAATGTTGTATAAGGCTCATTTTGCATGTACTCTAACACCAGTGTGCACTGCCTCTGTCCTGTGGCAAAAGCTTAGTGCAAGATGATCAGATGTATGGTCTTTCTGTTTTCTTGCTGGTAAGTCATATTAAAAGGACAGCTGATAAGTGTCCAAAGTACTTTCCCGATTAGTGCTTCTCAGCTCTGGATAAGTTGAATGCTAACGATACTTGTCCTGGGGCTTGACTGCCTCTTGTATGGCTCACTCATCACAGACTGCTTTCAAAGCATTCTGGAGTAAAATGATCATTTGGAGCTTGTGATACCATCTGTTTCATCTGTGGATGTATGATTATGGACTCCTCTAATAGTTTGTGAAGTCTAAATTGTTTGTCATCTAAAGATGACTAACTTTACCACGATGCTTCCCAAACCCTTGGCTACAGGTATGATGTTGTGTGTGGCTTGAGACCTGCCCCTTCTCCTCCTCTCCACATCTCATGTTTAACACATGCACTCTTTGCTGACAGAAAGCAGGTGCAGACAGTGGATATTGCAGGTATGGATGTGTAGATACATCAGTATTTAACCTTTGGAGTCTGCTCACATGCAGAAAACCACAGGCTTTGAGTTAGTCTTCTAGGCTTCCTATACAACATGTGGAGAGGCTGGGACACACAACCCTGGGAGAGGACAGCAGCAGCAACCTCCTGCTTGAGGAGTTCAAGGGACCTCCTAAGCCCTTCAGCCCCTGTTCATGCAGAGCAGCCTGCCTCCATCGTACCAATGCAGTGGCTGGGGCACAGGAGCTGAAGGGACACGTGAGACTGCTCTCGCACAGCAGGAGGCAAAGTCAGGGCCTGTTCTACTACCGCTCCTAACCAACTGCTGAATGCAACAGTTTTATTAATTTATAACAAGTCAAGGTATTTTTACAGAAATAATTGTTGTTTATGCCCTGTTTCATGTCAGCAACTGTGCTGAAGGAAAAGAAATATGCAGTGAGCAGAGTGTTGGGCCTAATATCAGAGTTTACTTACCAGGGTAAGGAGTCTGAAGTATAGCACCTTCTCATACTGTAGTTAACTTTCAAAAAAGAGAAGCCAAGATCTTCACAAATAAGTAAATTCTTACGCACTCGTAGAAATCAGTGTCTTTAGTGAATGTTCAGCAGCCCCTTAAACTTGAAGATGTGCCAGCAGGTCACTGTCACTTTTGAAGACTGAATCAGGACATTCAGTGACTTTAACAGGGGACCTAAGAACCTCAGCTTAGGCACATCAGTATCTCAGACAACTGACATGTCACCCTCAGGAGATACATGTCTGTTTCTACTATCTACAGAAGCAATATACACATGTATCTTATGCTGGGCAGGGTAACTGAGTGAAGTTTGCTGGGATAAATCTGACCCTAGTGTATTTTGGTTTTCCATTGTTTCTTAACAGTTGGAGTACTGGTTTAAGAATTACCATCAAGTGACACACAGCTGTGATATTTTAATGACTTTCAGTCCCTCCTTCTTCCCTTGTTTTTCATCACTTTTGCTCTGTACATTTCATGCTAATTTTGTAGGTACTTCTGGTATTTAATTTCACTTTCTTATTGAAATTGCTATTGTCTTTCTATTTGTGCCTTCCCATGGGGCTTGTTAGGTCTTGATCCATAGTTCAGCATAGCTTAAACTGTTTGCTTACTTTTAAACTTGCATCTGAATTCATGCCTGTTAAGCAGCACAAATTTGGTGTATAATAAAGACCCACTGAAGTCAGTATCCCACTTTATAACCTGCTTAGGTTTTTAGTTAGATCAGTGGATTGAACTATGGTGAGATAACAGCTGATGACAGAATTAGCGTGATTTAAGAAGTTTCTATCCCTCACCTGGAAAAACCAGTTTATATTCAGTCTTTTTCATTCATATTTTAATGGAGTAGAAATACACACTTGCTCGGTGCTTACATCTCAGTTGATAGACAATGACTTTTCATCTCACTTGGTCACTTAAATCACATTTTTAATAACTACACTGTTTTGTGCTGGTTTTGGCAGAACTCCTCCTTTGGAAATGTAACCCTGTTAAGAATACTTTCTCTTAATCATAATAGAGTTTTTGCTTGTAGACCATCTGTTTCCACTACTATGTTGCCAGCTTTTCCCTGCCAGCTTTTCTCTGATCCTGCTAACATGCTCCTCCCTTGATGTATCGTGTGCTCCTAAGCAAGTTAGTTGTATAAAAATCTTTCCTTCAGTCATCCAACTTGAAGCATTCATATATGTAAAATTAGACTGAGAATGGTTTGTTTTGAAAGGGACCTTGAGCCAAACATATAAAGGGTACTCTACACTCTGTAGTCAACTCTACAGTCAGCTGTGTGCAGGCATGCACCTGTTTAAGCTGACTTGACATGAATGTGTCATTCTCCATATAGCAGAGATCTTTGGTCTTTCATTCAGTGTTGTTTCGGTTTTCAATGGGCCATTTTACAGTCACCCAAGAGTTTACAAGAGAAAGAGTCTGATCCTCATCTTTATAACCTTAGTCAGTCTTGTCTGTTTTGGTTCTCTGTGAGATGCATATCAGGAAGCTAACTGGACACCATGCAGTG